ATATTCGCTGAGACGAAGTCGAGGTGAATATTCCCCGATAATCACCGAGCCTGAGGCGAATAACTGTTTTAGTATTTTTGCACAAGTTTTTTTGTGTTTTTCTTGTCTGAATTCATTTTAATTTCGCTTATTTCTTTATCACTAACTTCAACAAAACGGCTAACCGCCATTTTGAAAATTTCGATTTTGTTATATTCTCCTGTAGGTGAATATAACAGATTAATATGTCAAATTTGACCAATCACCTTGTAGGATTTGTTATGTTCACTTGTGCAAAAATACTAATGTGTAATGTTTGATAATGCAGGAATTAATACAATACCTGATGGTGATAGTCCATTGAAAGAATGTTGATTAGGATTCACAACATAATATGATTCAGCAGTCTCAACTGTTCCAACTAATGGTGCTCCGTCTCCAGTTTCTATGACAATCAACTCATCATCTTCTGGCCACTCATATGACTCTGCGCTGTCACATGACTCTTCACTAGGACTGTCATATGGCTCTGCACTAGGTTTGTCACTTGATTCCTCATTATTATCCTCTTCCTGGTCCTTGACCACCTCATCGTCAGGTTGCCTTTCATCCACAGTTACCTTTTCTGCAAAAAATAAAGTGTTTAAAATTGTAAGTCATATTAGAGTAGTTACTACATGTGCTGCATTTCAACAAAAAAGCTGGTTTGGCAAATCCTGTGATAAGTTTCTCATATGAGTGTCTGCTGTGTTTCAGTGCTGGAATATATCCAGACATTGTCTCATACAAACTCATCACAGCAGGACGGCGTCTGTCTTTTTGTAACATACGAGCAAAAGATGACCTTTCATATTAGGTTGTTTTCTATATTACATAATAAAACATATTGTGTTGATTGGCAGTAGCAGTGATGTGGCAAAGTCACATAAGGTATATTGCTGATTTTGACAACTTTGCCACTAACTACACCTTCATGTGACGTAATATGTATCAATTACACCAGCTCTTCGAAAATTACCCGACCTTAGCGCACTTGTTCAAATTTTCTTTCGGTTTGGACGGGCTCAGCCCCCCCCCCCCCCCCCCAATCATTTTTCATGAAGACAGAGATAATCTCAGCCTGTGTAGGCGGTCAATGGGAAATACCAATATTTATCCTTCAATATTTATTTTCGCAAGGTGAGAGTCAATACTATTTTGTGATTTATTGCAGACTACACATTACACCAACAATTCACTATAATTTTCGATTTGAAATTGTTATTAAATCCTATTGTAATGTCTAATGATCCATTCAAGTAGCTAATTATTAAATTAGTATTTTTAATACGTAAATTATTCTCTATGATGGGTAAATTTTGAAGCAAAGCGTTGCAAGTTCGCCAAATTATATCACTACGTTTTTCGTTGTTCTCAAATCTAACTTTATTATAAAACGAGAAATGATGCATCTGTATTCTGCAAAAGAAGTTTGAGTTTTCCGCGTTGTACGTCTCTATTAAATAAGTGAGAAATTGATAATTTTATTCACAGAAAAGGGATCTAAAGGGATCTATTGTGGAAAATAACCATAAATCACTGTTATTAACCCGCGTTCTGCTTGGATCTCAAAATAACACAATTGGTGGGCGGAACTCAAAATACTTTTTGGGCACGCGGTATTTCCCATTGAGCGATGAATCCTAGCTCGTTCTATCATGGTAATTGGCTAAAAGGCATGGACGGGAGGAGGTTTTAAAGAATAGTCCAAAATTTAAACTCAGAGTTCGCTTTAGTTTATGGTTAATATTAGGATTGGGATTAGGTTTATAGGGCAAGGGTTACCGTAAGGTTTAGGATTGTTATAAGTTCCTTAATTGTTGTTGATACGTTCACGCGTTTTAACTATTTCTTGAAAAGTAGCCGTCAAAAACCTTGCTCTCTTCCATCCCATTTAGCAACGATCGTTCTATCACACACATTGCTGAGAAGTTGCCTCAAGCACTCGAGAAGCGAATACATGTGTCGGCATGTCAATTTTCTCGGCCTTTACTTTTATTGCTTGTTTTGAAGCACTGCCTGCCACGATTTTCTCTGCTTATTCTGACAATGCACATGCAATATAGATCTGCTACCGTTTGACATTTGTTACGTACTATTTAAAACACGAGTAGGAGTGTTTTATCAGATATAAACGCGAGGTGCAGCCGAGCATTTTATATCTGATAAAACACGACGAGTGTTTTGAGTGGCTTAAAATACGACTACTAAAGAATACTAATTAGGATGAACAATTATATAATCATACTAATTAGGATCGATGAACAATTAAATACTAATGAAGATGAATTTTATCAGATATAAAGTCATGCCACATGACATATTATGGCTGACATGATTTGCCACAAGGTGTATGAATTATTAATGAGTATTTTAAAGTAATAAACTCGTGCACGAGTATCACGGTGTTAATGCGTAAAGTCTAATTTAAAGACCATTGTGCCTGTGAAAATCAGGCTTTATGTTAAAAAAATAAGGTAATGAATGTCCTTAAATAGGGCCCTAAGCATTGGTTATTATCAAGCTTCCCACGTCCCTGCATGACATAATAACTCAATGTACAAATTCCTCTCGAAAATTCTCAGTAAGTTGTAACCATATTATTTTGTTACACAGTAGGCATTTACTCAGCAAGATTTCTGTTGTATGCTCATACACTACCTAATGTCAATACTGGATCAAAGTCTTAATTGTTACATACAAAAGCTAAAACACAGAAATAAATTAAATAGAAGCTATATAGGCCTCATCTAGCTAGGCTGATTCTATTTGAATGTTACAATTAAAACCCTGTTGCAAAAATGAGAACACAGGTGACAATTTTAAAAAGAACAAAACAATAGACACTCCGAAAATAGTTAACATTTTAATCAACGTTTCGACTAGGAGTTCAGCCATGATGACTGAAATCTAGTCGAAACATTGATTAAAATGGAGTGTCTATTGTTTTGTTCTTTTTAAAATTACTCAAGTGACAATTTAGTATTCAACTTTCTCTAATTCTGAGAAAAAACGTATTATTGTCAAATGAATAGGGGTAGTAGGAGAAAACCCTAGGTGTCACAACATTATTGAATGTTGTCGCATATTATAGGTCCAGCTTAAAGTAAAATAATTATATAATTATTATTATATTATAATTATATATAATGAAGTCTATATATAATTTGTTGTATTTATAGGAGGTTAATCAATAATATACCTTAGGCCTGTCAAAGACGTCAAATTTCCGACTAATTTAATTAGTCAAATTTAATGCTTCTGATTTATTTTGACAGATTTTCAAAGTCAATATTTGTCAATTATGCAACAAAGCTCATCAAATTTTTAAAGCTCTGCAATATATTTCTGTATGACTGGGCTATAGTTTAATATCAATTAGCTTAAAGGTCCAACAAATATGGAATATTATGGACAATGAAGGCTGAAATTTTTCCTGTGTCCATAAATATTTACTCATTTATCTTTAACAGTTTTGGGTAGTTACTATTTGTATTGAGAAATTTTGCAACATCTCTCATCTGTTAATGCTTTAATTGCTTCTGATAAGGTCACTAACACTAAACAGTAGTGTGTTGGGGATTGCCTCATGCCTCCCTTGTTTCGCCCAACAACTCACAAATCACATTTAAAATTTTAAAACTTTAATAAAGGTCACAGCTAGGTCACAATGACATTAGATACATTACACTTCACTGTATCACAATTGATGTTAACTCTCCAGTAGACTGAAGTTCTAATGTGTCTAACTAACATACACAGGCTATATTTACAGTAAAACAATAGGAACTTATTGTGGTTATATGACGAACTCTATGCGGTTATGTGACAAAGTTTCCTTGCGGGAAATATGCAAATTCATCGCGATTTGATCCTATAGTTTCGACTGCACCCTGACAATGCGGTTGCATAGTCATGTCTGTTTATCTCTTGTGTTGTATATGAATTAACTTCTAGTCTATTACTCTGCACTTTCATTTCCCTTTTGCATGTATAGTGTGTTCATAACTATATATTTAAACTAATAACTAAATGAATTATCTATATTCTAAGATTAAATGTACTCTGGTCTATATACTATAAATTATGATAATCGAAGTCTCCGACAAGTGGATGTATTCACAATTGTAATGTTATTTTATGTATTAAAACAAAAAATATACAGTAGCTATTGTTTGTTAATTTCTCTTAATTAAATAAATATTAATAAAACATAAATACATTGGCGAATTATGTATATGAAGTTTCACAAGATAGACAAAACTGAATATGTAAGTGGACAAGAGGGAATAGTAGCTTACTGTAGCTAATCCAAGTATCAATTATCAATCTGACACAATGTAATAAGCCAATTTGGAGTTTCCGCTGTGCATCCAAATGACATGTTATGCTCTCAGTCTCAGCTACGTGATATGATTCAATTGCATTTTATCTCGATGCATATTGCTTCATTTGGAGGTGCAGTGGAAATGCACAATATGGAAATATTGGCTTATTTAAAAAAACGTTTTTTGTTTGAAATATAAATTATGAAATGTCACTGTATCCAGAACACTAGTATGCTACCCATTGAGTTTAATACCCAATTACCACACCCAACAACCACACCCATTTTGCTTTTTCTGTAGCATCCTCCCTGTGTATAATTTGCAAAACATCACCGTTTAATATATCCCAACATTTGATTGATTTGAACATAATTTAATTGTCTTTGACATTGAGCAAGTTCAATATTGGCGTGTTTTCTATTTTGGCATGCACTGACGTGTACAAATGTATTGTACCTATGTACTTGGTTGATTGATTTTATTTCAATATTTCAATGCCTTGGTACAGGAATATTGCCTGGACAAATTAGAAATAGCTCACTTATTCCCCATGTACAAATAACACACATACATCCACATATATTTATTATTAACTCACTATGCATATTCAATAATAAAATTCGACAATGAATCAATATGTTCGTATTAAGCAGGCCCATTATGCCCATACAGGCCATACTGCCATACTCCCCATACACAACAATCACAAGAAAAATAAATAAAATAATCTAAATATAAACACAAATACAAATATAAGAGTCATCTGTTTAACTAGACATTGAACTATTTAATTAATTTCAAATATATTTCTACGGCATAACTTTATTTTGAAACACACCTTCGTCATCGGTAGATATTTCAATATTTTTCTGTTGTTCGTCAGCCATTTTGTCCCCTTTTGTTTCTCTCCGAAGATTGTACGAACACAGCAATCGGAACAAGTTCGGAAATGAATTTCGCTAAATTACCGGAAACTTTTATTATGGCGAAATCACAGATCAGTGGACAAAATATTACTTCAATGTGAAGGGAAATGTATTTTTACAAATATTGTATGGATTTCACACAAGTTTCTTTCCATGGTTCTTTGGCAAGTAATTCCACTTTACGTAAATGTACTAACCCCCCTACCATATTCGATTTCCTTTCCCCCCGGCTAAATGGTGCCAGCTGGTGGTTGCTGAAAAATGGCAGCTCATTTGCGTGTACGTATGGTCGAAGGACATTTAAAAGGACGTAATAATCACATCGTTAACAGCCCATACACCTACGACAATGGCATCCTCACACCAGAGCAGCGAAAATTTTATGATGAAAATGGCTATTTAGTTATCCGTAATTTGGTGAAACATGAAGAGATCAGAAAGTATCTGCAAAGATTTCAAGACATATCTTCAGGAAAAATTCCACGTAGTCCAGGAATGACTGTCATGAAAGATGTCTCAATTTTGAAATCAGAATTCGTTCAAGGAGAACGAGCAATTAACAAGATTCAAGATTTTCAACATGATGATGTCTTCTTTAGCTATTGTTGTCTTCCAGAGATCATACAATATGTTGAGTGTTTCACTGGGCCTGATGTCACTGCTGCGCATACCATGCTAATCAATAAACCACCTGACTCTGGGTCAAAAACGTCCAGACATCCATTACATCAAGATTTACATTATTTCAATTTCCGTCCCGCTGACAGAATCGTGTGCTCCTGGACAGCAATGGAAAAAGTGAATCGACAAAATGGCTGTCTGGTTGTGTTACCTGGAACCCACAAAGGTTTCTTAAAACAGCATGTTTATCCTGATTGGCAGGTACTGGAGTTATTAATATAGTGCACAATAATGAGGCCAATGAGCAGATCCAATGATAGGGATACGCAGTGGTAAACATCCTGGGGCCGGTCAAGTTCGAAAGCTGATATTATAGCTTAATTATAACCCTATGGTTAACATTCCAACAGCCTGTTTATAAATTTGCAAATATTTCTTCAGAAATCCTGCCTGGATCATGCAATAGGAATAGGAGTTTCTTCTCTGAAGTTTTGAAATAAACATGCAGAAATACTAAACTAAAACAGCAAGTTAAATCTTAACCGAGGCAAAAAATTATTTACACTCAAATATCTTCAGTTGTAACTGTTTTGATTGCAATGCTTTTGTTTGTTAATATTTTCTTAAATAAAGAATGGTGTGAACAAGATGTATTATGGTATAAAGGATTTTGATCCAGATGCAACTCGTGTTCATTTGGAAATGGAAACTGGTGATACAGTATTCTTTCATCCACTTTTGATTCATGGCTCTGGTATGAACAAAACACAGGGATTTAGAAAGGTACTATTGCTTGATACATTGCATTGTGTTTCGATCCATAGTTATATATTATTGGTTTCAGATCTACAGTATGTACTTTATCCTCCCCCTAATAACATTGCATTTCTCTTGTTTGGAAGAGGATCAGAAATAAATAGAATAATAATATTGGTAAATATGTCAATTAAACAACCATGCCATACCCATTATGGGTGAACTAAACTATGTGCAAAACCAATTATCAGGGCTGCAAATAAATATTTGACTTGACAGGACATTTGTCCGATCACTTTTAATTTTGGTCGGACATAACTTGAATTTGGTCGGACAAAAACCAACACCACTAAATTTGGTCGGACATATATACGTCACAAGATATATATAAGTCACGAGACAAGTATGTATAGCCATTCCGGCGCAACGTTAAGTAAAATGCTAGAATGCCTCGTAAATTTTATTGCAAAATGCAAATTGAGTGAATTTGCAATCGGATTTTGTCACAGCAAAAAAATGTATAATGTGACAATTTTTCTTTTGTGATCGGACCAATGTCCGATCAAAATTACTTTTGGTAGGACATTTGTCAAATTTAGTCGGACATTGTCCGATGTCCGACAGTAATTTGCAGCCCTGAATTATTGTTGTTCAGCCCACAAACAAATCTCAATCTTTCTTTCTTTTTACAGGCCATATCATGTCATTATGCCAGTTCACATGTGTATTTCATTGATGTGGAAGGAACAACACATGAAAATCTGGCTGAAGAAGTATTGGAAATTGCCAGAAGAAGACTAGGACCTGATGCTGAATTTAAGTTTGCGGTATGATAACTAGAGTGTCACACTACAATTAAGGCTACACCACAATGTATTACATCAGTTATAATAATAATTAAATAGTCAGGGCTGTAAATACTCGTTACAATTGTAACACGTTACTGTGTACTCGTTACATTTGAAGTAATTTTAACCTGTAATTAATTACGTTTTTAGAAATGTAACAAAAAACGTAATTAGTTACAAAAGCAAGGAACGTGTTCCTTATCCAAGGAGCAAATTGAAAATTCCATTTCTTATTCTGTTAAAAATAAGAAATAAAAAATACAACGTTGCGACAAAAAATCAGAAAAATGGCTGAAATAATTTTCAACGAGATCACATGGCATGATAGCCTACATGAAGTACTATTTATTGCGAAAGTGGAACCACAATTTGTTCCAAGGCTCAGAGCGCCAAATATTGGCAAATAAAGTTTTAAGTTTACATTTTTCGATTTGCATGTCAAATGTTTTTAATATATAGAAATATCATCTTGATAAATTCTTGCAAATTTCAAAGTTTATACCGTTTTTATTTACAACTAATGTTTAAGATATTGTCTTATAATATATATAGTAACAATTTGCCGGTAAAGGAATTTGTAATTAATTCCTTTTTTCTGGAGCAATTTTTTCATTGTACTTAATTACATTTTAGAACAAGTAATTGTAATCAGGAATTTATTACATTTTAAAGCAAGTAATTGTAATTAATTCCTTTTTTAGTGGTAATTTTGCAGCCCTGATAATAGTTAGTCATTACCACATCACAACACGTTTATAAAATGTTTAATATTTAATAGAGCGCATTCCGGCATTGTTATAAACAACTACTGTAGTACATGGTACTTTTACAAGGTGGTAATTGTACTGAAACGTTAATTTTAATACCAATTTATTATTTACATACTAACCTAATTTAAATTGAACTTTCTTTCTGATTTTAATGCAGGATATTTGGAAACTCCGTATGCGTCATGTGAAAGGAAAAGAACTTGAACTTTAGCATGAAATCTGTTCTAGGGCAACCTTAATTATGGTGATCTCATATCGGATATATGTACGGCTGTGAATGATTACCTCTGTTATTGTACTTCAGTAATTGAAGGAATTGAACATCGTAAAGTCATCGAAATTTTAAAATATGAACATACATAAATTATATAACATATGTTTAATTCTTATACGGCCTGTTTAAACAAGGCTTGTTCAAACAAGGGCAACAGGTTGGTCCAACATCATCCAATATTGTTCGATGTAATATGTTGGCCTAACTTGAACACTACTGTATGTTGGGCAATGCTGGCTGAAGTTGGAAGATTTTGGACTGGGTTTAATTGACTTTGTTCTAAAATTGTTGTCCAACATTGTGCAACATATGTGCGCAAGAATGCAGCAATAAACATTGGCGTACCATTCAGGTACGACTAAAAGTCTTGAATTATCGAACCCTGGGGATTATATGTTTCTGATGATTATGCATGATCATTGGCGTATAAGCATGATCACTGAATGCGCTAAATAAATAGAAACAATAAAATAAAGTTGAATTCAACATGCAAACGTTTTAATTGTAAACATGTTTTGGCATTATTGTATGCTATCCAGAGGCGTGGCGACTGGGGGCTTGGGGGGGGAGGCCGGCCCCCCCCCAATAATTCTAAACATTAAAAAGTTGGTCAAAATGTTTTGTTGTTGGTCAAAGGAAGTATTAAGAGCAAATGCGCTAACATTTGAAGAAAAATACCGTCTTCATCAATATTGAAATTTGGTCAAATTTGTTTTTGGTCAAAATATATTGAGGAAAAAATGCGATTAAATTTTAACTGTAAGGGTTGCCGGTCAGCTGCCAACTCAATTTTAGCTCGGACATACCGAATATCTGGCTGGTCAAATTATTCAGCTTAAAGTAAAGCCTAGTAAAGTATACCCCTAAAAATGTGACTATACTGTATAGCATCAGTAAAAAGCCTAGCCTGATAAAACAGCCGCCTATATTGCTCGTTCCTCCCAAGGGAGGAACGAGCAATAATAGGTGGCTGTTTTATCAGGCTATATAAAAAGCCTTACTGTAATCAGTAATTAAAATGAAGATTAGTTTGTTCTTTTAATACCGAAAGTGACTGGTCAAAATGACCGGCAAGCTAAGAATTTGAGCGGACAACTTCGCATTCTGGCCGGACATTGTCCGTTGGCGTTGACCGGCCGTTATTTCGCGCCCTGCATTGTTGCCAAGGAGTTCAATCAATACTTAGTAGCTTGTAAAAATATTCAGAGACTGACGTTTAAATGTTTTTAAAAACGGCTTTGTCAGACAGTTTTTGGTGTTAAAAAACATACATATGCATTTATATTATTCCACATTTTGTCTTTTTGAGCAAAATTTGTAGTCTTTGGCACCAGAACAGCCACACAGTGAGCAAAACATTTTGGTAAATGTCCTTTGACAGTTTGATTCTCAACCGCTCTCAACAAACACTAGGTTCACATCACAGCGCTACAAGAATGGCGGGAATGCGCGGGATGGATCCCCAACCACGAGTTTAAAAAATTAACTTTATTTCACCCATGACTTTTTATTTTGTCATAAGTTATTTCGTTTTGCCGTGAGTTAATTTTATTCCCGTGAGTTTCAATTTTGTTTTGCCGTTGCAGTTAATTTTATTTGCCGTGGTTCAGTTACTTTCGCTGTGACACTTGAGGGTTAGGGACTGCTCACTATTTATTGTACAGGGGGAGACTGAGGAGAAACTCTACAGTTATAATATTTTTCGTGGCCCCCCCTCTTAAGACAAGTAAAATTTTCAAAGCCCCTCCCTCTCCAACAAGCAAAACAAGAACATAAATTTTATAATCACCTCTCAAGTATCACAGAGATATATAAACGTAATCGTGGACAGAAATATTGATCGCAAATGGTTCGGCACACTTAAAGAAATGCCATTTCGAAGATCAATACGATTCCCCCTAGATATACGCGTCGCTTCCAAGTTCCAAATGTAAACACGTAAAAAGTCGGTCCCGAAATATTTTACACCCCGCCCTAAAAATGTTTTGGGATGTGCGCCCCTGTGCATAGATACTCGAAACCGTGAGACTGCAAATGCTGTGGACTGCGCTTTTAACAAGCAGCCACGATCATTTCCCTATATTGTATATAGAAGTCTTAAAGAATTATAGTTTAATTAAATAAATATACCGAGTGTATTTTTATTAATAATTATAGTTAAACATTCATCGTTAGCTGATTACAGTACATATGATTAAAATCGTGCAGATTACACGGCTATGCGGATTTGCATGAACTCTCTCGTATTACCCCAATAAAAAGAAACTGCACAACGTGGAAAAGAGCAAGTTGGTCATTTTCATTGAAAACGTTGGTCATTGTTGTATGATGCCCCCTCCCAATCCTGAGTCGTTCGCCACGCCCCTGATGCCATCGTTTAATTTTATACACTTATGGTCGCCATTGTTGAATTTAAACGTATATTCTATTTCTTACCTTTTTTTCCCACTATCTACATTGCATGCAATAACAATCCCATTGTCAATTACTGTTTTATACAACACTACAACTTAGACTTGTGCCTATATATGATTATAGTAGCACGCATTTGGCTACAACTATACAATGTTTCACTACTTCCAAGAAACGTCAGTCTGTGCAATGTAGGAGAAAGATGGCAAAAAAAAATTATTAGTGTAAAGAAAATAGACATTGCAAACTGATTGATTTTGTGTCTGGTCGACCCATAAGTACTTGTCAGTTAATTAACTAGCGTACTTGACCCACTAGACATACTTCATTACCGATTGCCTCCACTTGATTCTGGTACAGTAGCTGACCTGGAGTTGGTACAGGTGTGGGGGGTAGCGCCCATTGACATTCTCACCGACCATGATGCACATTGTCAGTCAGAACCCTCAAAAGAAGTGTTCATACCAAACGTATTTGTAATAATTGACCTTTGCTTTACGAAGTACTGATTAGTGTGGTTCCTGGTTCGTTGCATACGAACTCAAAACATCAGCAATACCAGAAGATGCCTATTGCACAACGTATTCCACTCGTTCTAAGACCAAGTCATCCCTCGTCAAAACTTAATCACATTTGTGATAAACAATCCAACAATGCATCTCTAATGGTTTTTCTGAGTTGGTCATTGCCATGTGTGATGATATGTGTACTTCCTTTCTCTAATGTTACCACAGCGTCATCATCATTCTGTCAAAAAGTAAACAATATAGTGGTACAGTAGATCTCTGCTGTAATGTATTTTCAAATTTGTATGTCTAATCTGCGAACGAGCATTATGGCTTGCTGTTTCACCAAATCTAACGTTTGCAGTCACTGAAAAAGTTCCCTTGGAATGATCAAGCTGCATGAAAAACGGGTGAAACATTACCTTGAATATATAGTAGAGAAGGTGGTTTACTCACCAGATGTACTGTATGACCACTGGGTGTTTGTTCAACTTCAACATCTGTTATTCCTCTCTTGACATCAGACAAATAATACATGGTTAAGACATTTTAAAAATTAACAACAATAATAATAATACCTCAATCTTACTTTTGCAAGAGATGCAACCATTTCATCAACCATTAAATCGCCACATAGACACTTATTGGATGATGACCCTTCTGACGATCTACAAAAATAGGAAAGAATATGTTGAATTACTGAATGGTTGTACAAATCCTACTTAAATGGTGGATAAGTGAAAATTAAAGAACTCTCACAAATCTTATGCGTGACTGAATTTAAATCTTATCCACTTAAATAGTTGCAAACATAATTGTTCTATTCAGGTTGAAAAATTTAAGATTGGTTATTCAATTTATATATATAGGATATTACACGGCGGCGCGAAGATAGGACTTTTATCTTCGAGTGGTGAAAACATTATTTTACGAACGAGCGCAGCGAGTAAAATATTGTTTTTAACACGAGAAGATAAAAGTCATATATCTTCAAGCCACCGTGTAATGTTCTGTTTATTATATAGTCCCAAGGAAAAATTTGTGAAATTTCACGCTCAAAAGCAAATTGAAAAAAGTCACGTGATGGATATCTTCACTAGTGAAGATATGGAAAAGATCTCACTGTGTATTTTTCAGTATCTCACTCTCTACTATATAATAAATAAGCTTGGTCGCTGCTTTGGACCTGCCTCGGATAAGCTAAACGTATTCCATGCAGCTTGCCTCACGTCGTGATCGTCTTATCATTGAATTGTAATCTCGTAAACAAACTTCAATAAACTCAAGGTCAATAACATGCATGTCCATCATTGTTTGGGGGACAATATTACATGATTTACAAAGATCGTTTTGCATTTTGACACTCGGCATTTTTGTTATTATATCGTCCGGTAGATTCGTACCACGCCCGAATTCTTGTGATAGAGGTAGCTTAGAGATCTCTGCAGTTATAGTATTCTGTATTATACTTTGACTAAACACATCATAGAGTTAAAATGTACCTCTCAAAAGGTTGAAGTGTGTATTTGTTATTCTTATTCTGTAATGTACCATTCACCATGGCTACAGCCGTACCAGCTCGCACTTCTTGGGGACACAATGTTGTCGCTAGCTGGAAGCAAACATACCCGGATGAGTGTGCTTAAATTTCTATACTATTTTACTATAGGTCATGCACTGTTTAGTTTTTATGCAAAATGACACTCTATTTCGTAACAAAAGCTATCACAATATTTGAACACTATGCCATAAACGATGGTTATTTTTTGCTGCTCATTTGAGGGTGTTGCATGGTGGCACATACAGTAATGGTGAATTATTTCCTTTATGCTTTTCACCTCTGCAAATTGTGTTTGACTGCTGCAGTAATATCGATTTAATAATTTCGCCTAAACCACAGGTTTTCTCCATGTACTCTGGTTTTCTATTTATAGTAATTATAAACATTATAATAACTAACCTAGGTTTGACTTTGAATCGTGCGATCCCTCGTTGAGATAAATCATTTAAAAATCCATCACTCCGCTGCGTATAGACAATGTCAAGAACAATATAACGTCACAATTATAAGGATAATTGTGACCTTATACTGTATTTACCCCCACTCCATAGATAATGCCAAGAACAACATTATAACGTCACAATTATCCTTTGGATACAATTCTACCATACCTTGTTTGACAGAGATACTTTCTCGTAACTTCGAGTAACAGGAATGTCGATAACATGAGGATAACTGATAGGCAATACTTGACTGTCCTTAAGATATGTCAAATATGTTTCATATAGTCACGAGAATTTTAAACTAACTTGTACTTTATACAATTATCAAGAAACACTATAAACGTTTGGATCGATTTAAGGCTTTCTATGTATTACCTTAACTGTTTTGGCAGTTTCGCTTGCAAAATATACTTATGTATGTCTCCAATGCGCGCGAAAAAAATGTACAATAAATCTGCTTTCATTTCATGCTTTCACTATTTTCGCGTTGTTTTTCTCACTTCAAGGATAACAAAATGAATCTTGGTTTAAAAGCGCCAGAAATCTTGTTATCATTTGTTACTACCAAGTAACAAACAAGCAATCACAACACATTGATTTAAACTAGTTGATAGGTGCTGGGGCGAAGGAAATAAACCTCTACCCCAGCGTATAATTATACACGGGCAACCAGGTTATACTGTACTTACATTGTCTAGCTGAACTACAAGATCTGTTCTGTGAGGCAGCATTGGTGGAGGAACTGTATACTCTTCGGGAATAACAACAAAACGAGGCTGAAATAGTTTACAAAAAAGGATTTTGTTATTTTAAAATAACTAGCTTGCAGATCAGCGTTAGCCACGGCGATTAATACAAACGGTAGAAATCTTCCATTTAGGTCTTCCTTTCCTGACGATGGGCATCGAGAAGTACATCTTTTTTTGCTGTCGAAAAATTTTCCAGCAAGTCCTGTAGCTTGATGGTCCGTTATTTCATTTTCTTTTTTAATTTTCACTTAACATTGGCAGGTAGATAACTTGACAATATTGTACATAACGTACATAGATAATTACACTGAACAAAAGCGTGAAGAGTAATAACAGTTGCTAAACATGGCGAAACACAAACGAGACTAGGTCCCATTATCATGGTGCTTACCACTAGATGAGAAAATTAACTGTCAGGTAGAGAACTCACCTTCATCTCTCTCACTGTTTTGTTTACTTGACCAAAGTTCAACCTGGGATCAATTGGACAATAACAAGCCTAAAACACAAAAAATATTCAGTGGAATTAGAAAAACTGTGACGATTTTCAACTGTCACCTTAACTTTTGGCAAAAAATAATGGTGGTTTAGCTTGTTCACCGAGAAAAAACAGCAGCCAGGCGAAATATAGAACGATGGAAAACTTGACTTATTCTCACAATATCAGTCACAAAAAAAATTATACTTTCAATTAAGAGGCAATTTTTTTCAATGTAACGTATTTGCAATGAAAAGTGTTCAAAACCTAAAATCTTTTTGGCGTTCCTCTCAAAATTACTTTGTTTTAGCTTTATTCTCTAGTTTATACAGTTAGCTACCTTTTTAAATGCATCTGCCGGTTGAGAAACATAAATAATAGTTAAAAATTGTCAATTAAAATACAATTATCAAAGATGCTTTAAAACTGACGCCATATTTGCAGCCATATAAGCAAAACTACTGAACTTCAGACATCATTTTCTCTTTGGCCTATCATCTAAAATCTCTTCATTTTAGCATTATTTTACAAATAAAGCACTAAACATACTTTTTAAGTTTGTTTGCCGATTGAGAAACGTATCGAAAAATAAAAATTTTGAATTTAGTCATAACCTCAAGTGGTATATTATACGCATTAGTTTTGAGCGCGTGTTACATAACATACAAAAAATCTCCTCTTAATAATTCATGAAACAAACAATAACAGCGTATCGTTGTCTTGACACCGTGGTTTTGACCACGCAGTTCACCTGATAAATGCATGATAATCTTCATGTTCCTCGCAATTCAAAATGGCTATAGGTATTTTGAGTATTGAGCGGTCATCTTCTATTCTGATTTGTAACAGACACATGCCCTATCTAACTAACTAGTTATCAGTCCATGTTCCTATGCTTTAACTTTATGCCAGACTTGAAACTCCTGTTTTGGTTATACGAGTTCATATCGCTTGAAGTAGCATAATACATAATCAATAAATTATTGTGACGCAGTTTTTATGAATTAGAATTGTTACTTTACCACGCCATGCATTGGTCTATTTTAACAATAATATAGCGGCCAGTTTTTAAAATCCAGTGATGGCCAGTTATACATATAGGTTTGACTATAAATGCACACAAATCCACAATTTTATTTACCTTCATAGCGAGTGGTTGATAAGGAGCCAAAGCATCTAAGAACGGGAAACCTGGTTCTAAATAATTAAACAAAAACATACTTTTAAAGACAAATCTTGAACAAGCTGCATTATATTCATGGCTGCTGCGGCTAACTGTTGTAGTATGCATTTGCCCCCTCCCCCCGTCCACTGGTCGTTACCAAAAATAATATAAATGCATATATGAACGTTGATTTCATTCTTAAAATTTCTCGAAGACTGTATGTAAAGTGTACCTGTAAAAATAATAGTATTGGCACTTGAACTGCCCCACATTTCAACAAAATGAACGACATCACCAAATCTCAAGGATGGATGACCAGTAAACACGATACACGGTGTCTTGAATGTGTTACTAAAACCATCTGCAACAGACAATGTGTTATCACACCATGTATATCATAAAAAAGATCCATGAAAGTCCAAGGTCAAAATGTCAGTATGCATTGTGGAAACATACCATGAAGATTTGGAAAGTGTTTAAGTTTTCCATTCTTTACAAGCTAAATAAACACAAAATTCAGAATGCAAAGATGGTCAGCATCAAGTCTTTTATTTAAACCATTTGGGTAAACAAAATAATTGTGCGTCGAGTTGAAATTTGAAATCTTCCATAACGTGTGGTGAGCGGTTATAATAAATACAAAATATAGTTTTACCTTACCTCACCTCAATCACGGTCCTCACCTCACCTTATGTTACCTTACTTTACCTCACCTCAATCACGGTCCTCACCTTCAAGATCTTATTTTACCTTATTTTACCTCACATCACCTCAATCACGGTCTTCACCTTACCTTATCTCACCTCCCCTCCCCTTACATTACCTCACCTCAATCACGGTCTTCACCTTACGTTATCTCACCTCACCTCAATCACGGTCTTCACCTTACCTTATCTCACCTCCCCTCCCCTTACTTTACCTCACCTCAATCACGGTCTTCACCTTACCTTATCTCACTTCCCCTCCCCTTACTTTACCTCACCTCAATCACGGTCTTACCTTACGTTATCTCACCTCACCTCATCACGGTCTTCACCTCAATCACGGTCTTCACTTCACTTTCTCTCACCTTACCTTACTTTACCTCACCTCAATCACGGTCTTCACCTTACCTTATCTCACCTCCCCTCCCCTTACTTTACCTCACCTCAATCACGGTCTTACCTTACGTTATCTCACCTCACCTTATCACGGTCTTCACCTCAATCACGGTCTTCACTTCACTTTCTCTCACCTTACCTTACTTTACCTCACCTCAATCACAGTCTTCACCTTACCTTATCTCATCTCACCTTACCTCATCTCAGCTAGCTTACCTTACCCTCACCTCACCTCACCTCAATCATGGTCCTCACCTTACCTAATCTCAGCTTACCTTATCTCACCTCACGGTACCTATGATCACCTCACCTAGATATTTCTATACGCTTACCTCTGCGTGTGGAAATGGTGGCTCTGGAAGATACACTTTGGACTGCTTACTCTGACACAACCTAAAATAAATACGCATTGCCTTTCCTTATATTGAAACGTACTGTACATAATATGAATCAGTAGGATTTGTACATCAATATAACCTGCATGATTCTATTGGCAGAAAAAAAATTAAACACCGTGTGCATTTATTTCTATGTGAAAACAAGATTTCCTTAAACTTAAAAAAATATTGGTAAGCTGTGTACGCTCACATTACCTGGCAATATATCATTAATAGAAAATATCGCGCAGTTAATTAACCTACCATTCAGCATAAATATTAGAATAAGCCAAAGAACTGTCAGCCACAGGAGAGATAAAGTAGATTGGTGTGAACGTTAGACCAGCACTATCCATGTAGGATTGTAGACATTCAAATAAGTCGTAAATAACACCCTGTAATTAAGACATATTTTTAATGAAAATAACTAGAAATTAAACATGTCTCAAGCGAGAATGATATACTTTCATACATGTATCTTTTCATCAATTCATTCTTATTTTCTAGCTATTGAAGCTCATACCATCGCACACAGCATTTAGAAAATAAATCAATCCCATGCATACAACAAAAAGTGCACTAAAATATTTCTGATAATTTTAACATGCAAAAACTTATACTTACAGAGGGAAAACACGGCACTAAAACATTTCCTCCACCTTTGATTGTATTTGCTATAAGAAAACATATCATATGAAGTACCATACATGCATGAGTAATATTTTACTGTTCAATTATATCCTACTATTATTACTCATTCGGCATAGAAAAAGACCTGGCGTATTGAGTAGCTGTAACGTGGTCGGAAAAGCAAACAAGACGCTCGGTTTATATAGGTCAATTATATCCTACTATTATTACTCATTCGGCATACAAAAAGACCTGGCGTATTGAGTAGCTGTAACGTGGTCGGAAAAGCAAACAAGACGCTCGGTTTATAGGTCATCTACCGATATCGTTGAAGAATCGCCGCACGTTATACCTTGCAATTACATGATCAACGTTAAGTTACTCGAGTCTGGTCCCCACAATCGATACAGTTAATCACGAGGACAGAACACACTCAACATCGGGCTACGAATTGGTTAAAAAATGTTACAAAACTAGAAGTTTGCAGACTGAACTCGCGATACCACACGTTTCCCAAATACAGGCAACCTGCAGCATCTGGGGAAATGTTGGAAAACTGGTGGGAAAATACGATTTCGACAGACCACTTGAAATCAGTTAGTTTTGGCCATCAGTTTATCGCAATACGCCTGATCTTTATAAGTATGAAAAAAGTAAATCTATAACGGCTTAACGCACGATACTACATGCCAAAATTAGATTACCTTTTTTGATACACCTTGTATAACTTATTGTCTCAGCAAAATTGAAACGTATGTTTATTAGGACGATTTGCGGGCTTGTGTGTATGATATACAACCACCTAAAAATTAAGCACACACACGTCGACGTTTTGAGCGAAAGCCCTTCGTCTGGAAATTAGTACAGCAGTTATAGTAACTTCTAGACGTTTGTTCTTAGTTTTCAGGGGGTCGCATCATACATGTACATACACAAGCCCGCAAATTGTATTCTTCGCTACCCACCCGACATCCAGGAATTTATTTTAAGATGGCCTTTCCTGGGTTAATCTATCGCATGCAGATTAGGATTAATCAACAACTGACGTAAATATTATAAATTTTGTGAATCTGGCTCCGCTAGAACATAATGTTGAAGGGTTTTGCATTATAACCAATGCACCGTATATAATACAAATCACAACAAATATTGAGTAATGTTTTTTATGTTACTCTGAGTGTATATCCACACCGGGCAGGCTGAAAAGTTAGCCTGACCATAGAGATTATAAATAACACTAGAGGAGGCATCGAGTTTAAAAATTGGGAACGCAGCTAATGGGGGGCAAATTCAAGTCCCGGATATAAAATCGTGCTCTCATTGGCTGATTTGAAACTCGTCACCAATGAGAACACGAATACACATCCGGGACTTGAATTTGCCCCCCAATAGCTGCGTTCCCTATTTTTTTACTGAATTAAGATTACAATGCCTCCTCTAGTGTTATTTATAATCTCTATGAGCCTGACCACGGTGGAAATCGAACCCGCGACCTTTGGGATACTAGTCCAGTGCTCTGCCAAATGAGCTACGAGGCCAAGTCTGTTCGAGTGTGTGGTATTTCGGAACTAAGTCTAGTACCTTCGGACTAGTATCCCAAAAGTCGCGGGTTCGATTCCCACCGTGGTCAGGCTACGTGGTCAGGCTGGTTCAGCCTGCACAGTGTAGATATACACTCAGAGTAACATCAAAAACATTATATTCACCTGAGTACACAACACCAAAACACACACAAAAATAAAATATTGAGTAGTAACCTAAATTTGTGCAGAACTCTCCCAACATGACATCTGGATTAGACGTCGGTGACTCCGCCAGTCCTGACAAAATCAGAACGTCACTACCCCTTAAACAACTTGGTTCAAAAGGTAGAGGATGCGTCGTAAACGATGAAGAGCTTGATAAATAACTTATCTAAAATAAATATGTAAAAATATATTGCTCTTACATGAATAATATATAGAAAATAACTTTAAAATAGCTATTATAGATCCATAAGTGCTAAAATTAATGGACTGTACAATGAGATTCATTAAATGAGACCGGGATTCATTAAATGAGACCATGCCTGAGCAGGGTTTTTTCAGGATTTTCTCTTGGGTCCGTTTTTGCAGAGATTGAGTTTAGCTGAATAGCTGGGGGTGGCTGCACCCCCCCCCCCCGGGCTGACACTTGTACTCAATAAATGTAGTTGAGACGGAATGTGTTAAAGCAGGAGCACTAAGGGATACTATAAACTGGCTAAAGATGGCGAATGCATAGTTTTGCTTGTGTTGTGACACTTTTTCTTAATTGTCGGGTTTCCAACTGAAAACTAATTTCCACACGTCACAAATTTAACTCAAACAACTTCATTTTTACTGCACTGAAACTTTGGTGAGAAGATTGAGTTTCAAAACTCAATTCAAGATTGAGTTTTTGGGGCCGTTTAACGGCCCTAAAAAATCCCTGAAAAAACCCCTGCATGCCTGAGGGATCGTAAATGCCAATAATGTATGCATGCATGTGTTTTACAAAGACGATTGAACAAAATAATGCCATTATATAATCTTAAAATTGAAAATGTGAATATAACTGGAAAAATAGATTAACAGTTTAATGGTTGCACCTTCTCGTATTCCGATTGTATTATCCAATTGCAGCTTCCAACAGAATAACCTGAACTTACAGGCGTTAACTGGAGTACACCAAACAGATCCTGTTCATAATAGAAATACAGTAATTCAGTAAATTATAATGCTGCTAGCCCATGTACTGTATACAGGTAAGTTTGATGTTCTAGGTCTGTGACATGCACGAGCAAAACTTTTATCACGTTTTCCAAATGGGCGTGAAAAAATGCAGCACCATGCAGCTCAGGAAATAGTGGGTTTCAGATAGCTTTACAAACCAGGGAAACAGATGCCTCAAATTAAATTATATCTCTCAATTCTATTCATTTGCCACAAATAGAAGACTACTACGTTGATACTACATAATTATGTAATGAACACATTTTATATCAATCTCTCAGTCTGATACCTATCGGTTTACCACCCACTTATTGATGGAAAATAATTCGGAAGAAATTTATTAATTGCACTTCTTTTCCGTTTTCAGTCAGACACAGTAACAATACATTTGTTGTCATTTTTTTATTCGTATAAGTTCACGGTTGCACTGATCAGGGCGGCCGAGAGGTTGGCGGGGCCCCGGGGCAAATTTTTTTTTAGGGGTTTCTATCTAAAAAAATTTTCCGGAAAAAAATTTATTCGGAGAAACCCCCCCCCCGTCGACAACTTTTTAGGTAAAAAAATTTTCCGGACGAGTACGTTGCAATTGCTTTCCAGGGACTTTATCTCATTTTTTTATGCCAAATTTCGGTACTTAGCCCAAAAAACAGATATCTTGTCCTTTACGCGGAAAATTTTAACACACAAAAAAGACTGGGGCCCAACAAAAAAATTTCAGGCCCCCCCAGCACCTCGGGGCAATTTGCCCGCCCCCCCCCTACCCCCCTCTCTGCGGCCCTGGCACTGATGAATACCGGGCTTACGAATCAAAAGCTTTGCAATATAAATGAACGAAAAATGTATTTCCATCAATGCAAGAACCTTTTTATATGTACTGTATTACCAGTTTTTCTGAGAATCCAACTGTTTGTATCTTTGCTATGCTTGATTTTATATCATGAATGCTAAATTAAAAAGTAATATGAACTTTAATATTCCTAAGGAATAAAATGCACTAGTCCTGCCGATATAAGGCCAAAATTCTCTCACAATAATTGGCACATTTTGGAACGTCATTTCATGAATTAACCCACGTAAGCATGAGTGACAGGTACTACTCACTAGGGGAGGACAACCCCTTCCGCGCCCAAAATTTCGGAAAGCTTTTGAGTGGCTGAATAACTGCGTAAAGGAAAATTATAATAACTTTACAATCATGAAATCATTGGTAGGCTTTAAATTAAGCAGATTTGCAAGAACTTTAAGACAAAAAGGTTTAAAGAATCGAGATTCGCGCTAACAAAAAAGATACGAATATAAGGTGGCAATCGATATTAGCCTCCCCCCCCGACCATTTCGCGAAGTGTCCGCCAAGAGTGTGCGTGTAGACACAGTAAAAATATCAGACTAATATTTACGTGCATCAAATTAGGCGAAGGACGAAGGGACTGTTCTCAGTCGAAAAAAGGTCAAAAAGTCCCACTCTCATCCCTCTCGTCAGTCGTCATTGTGTATATCTTCCAGTTTAACATCAAGATAACCGCTTTCTTTGTTTTGGCAGCTCAATGAAAATGTATTTAGCGCACGCTGGTTTCTAAGTTTAGATCTATGTACATGTGCATATTGTTCAGGTACAATGTCATTACCTGTATAAAGTACACCAGGATTCAACATTGAGAGAGTCTTTCAGTGGAGCAGGAAGCAACCTTTAAAATGGTCCAAAAAAATTACCTCTTCACTGCATCATTACAAAATGTGAAATGAAACATTTTTCCAGCAACGTACAAGATTAATAACATTTATGCTTTCGGAGCAGAAGGATTATTCAAACCGGCGCTTTATAGTGACAAGCAAATTGGTCTCAACGACTCTCATTTGCACTAGTTCATCGCAGGCTTGTATGCATGATTGACGGATATGAAACACAATATACTGTAGTGCCCATAGTGTATCCCACCTATACGGATAAACGTAATTTGCTTGCATTAACTTTATTAAAAGAATACCTTTTTATTTCAGCTCTTTTCCAAGCAGTGCCGTTGGCTAATTTAGGTACTCGCTCAGCAAATGTAACCATTTCATGCATCAGTTCACTACAAATAAAGTCTTATGCAGTTCAACGTTATGAAGTCTTAGGGTTTTTTGGTTTCAACACTGTAGTATAGTCAAGATTGTGTAATATATGTTAATCAGTTGTCCTAATTAGTCATTGTAATATATTCATAACAGTTTGTATAAATAGCATACGTATGTCAATAAAGTGCTGATTAAACTACCCGAGACTGAGTATATTATATTGGCGACGAGGGTAAAAAATTA